GGGCTGCAAACTAAGGCCTGCAGGTAATGAACACTCTTATAATCTGCTAGGAAGCAAGGGATGGCCTAGAGAATCCTAGTTCTGGCCTGGGCTGAGATGGAGGAAGATGGGAGAGGGAGGTGCTTGGGGAGGCATCATCCTAATGGAACCGAGTGAGCATTTTGGGCTGCTGCCTCTGAGTGGAGGTTAAAGAATAAGATCTCAGGCATCTTTGTAGCCTCAATGCTGGTCCAGCTACCCTTTCATATACACCTCATCACATCTGCACAGTCCCTTTTGCTAAGTAAGATAACACTTTCACAGGTGATTAGGATGTAGATGTCTTTGGGAGCTATTATTCTGCCTACCACAGATGAGGAGGTTGTTTCTCCCTGGAGTAGTCAAAGAGCTCTTTGGAGCCCTGACTGGCATGGCTCAGTGGGTTGGGCATCATCCAGCAAACTGAAAGGTCACTGGTTCATTCCCGGTCAGGGCAAACGCTTGCATTGCGGGCCAGGTCCCTGGTTGGGGGCATGTGCTGGGCAACCATCAATGTTTTTCTCACACGTTGATGTTTCTCTCCCACTCTTTCCCCCTTCCTTCTCCTTTAAAAATAAATAAAATCTTTTTCTTTTAAAATAACTATTTGGAGAGAAGATCCTTGATTGGAATCTTAAATAGTTTTACTTATCATTTGCCAGACACAGGGATGAAGTGGTACAAGCAAAGGAACTGTGCTTGCAGAGACACTAAACACAGAAACAGAAGGTGAGCCTGGAGATCTGTAAGTGGCTCAGTATGGGCTGTATGGCTAATGATTTGGAAGAGGGAATGTTCTAGAGATTAGATCAGAGAGGAAAGGTAGAAGCTGGGTCATGAAGGTTTATTTTTTAAACCCATATTAAGGAGTCTGAAGTTTATTTACTTGACTAATGCTATAACTTTAGCCTGTGCTATTGTTTGTTTAAAATTTCCTTTGACTCTCTTTTTGTCCTCCATATCCATTAAAGCACAGGTCTTAGATGGTATATCTTTCCAATGTGTGTTGAAATGAATATACAAGCATCAAAATAAAATGTCCGTCCACACACTGCCTAAAGTCATTTGTACACACCTAAAAGTGAGTACTGTATATCAAGCAAGTGCCAGAGGCTCCATTTCAAGCAACAAAAGAACACAGCTAGGTTTGCCTTTGATAAATACTGTGGCAGTTAATTGCTTTGGACTAAATGGAAACAAGTAAACATCACAACAATAAACACACATACCCGGATACTTCCACAAGCGATGAGACAATGAACGAAGACAGGAACAGTGGCAGTGAAGGGGAAGGTCTGGATATAAAAACATGCAGGAGATAGAACTGACTGGTAATAGAAAAAACTGGAAAAGGGGAGAAGTTGAGGACAAATGCCAGGGTTCTAGCACGTGCAATGCAGCGGATAACTGTCCTGCACCATGACAGCAAACAGAGGGGATGTCAATTGTGGGGTGGAGGGGACAAGATAGCGGGACAGGGTTGGAAGGAAAATGATTATTTGGGTGTGGAGCATGTTGAATTTGGAGTGTTTGTGGAACACCCATGTAAGCGCTTGAATGCCTGAGTCCGGGGCCCAGGGCGCCCTCTACAGCAGTGCTACCCAGTAGAAATACACAGTGAGCCACCTATGACACAGGTCATTATAAACATTCAAGTGGCCGTGGACGAGAGTCAGTGGATAAACACCTCCACCTCCCTGTCTCCCAGTGGCATGATTTTATGAGTATATCTTTGTTTTCCATTGCTGTTGTGATGAATTACCACAAACTGTGGTTTGAAACAACACACATTTATGATCTGACAGTTTTATGGACTCAAAGTCTGACATGGATCTCACTCGTCTAAGATTCAGTTGTCAGCAGGGTGTATTCCTTTCTGGAAGCTCTAGAGGGAAATCTTGTTTCCTTACCTTTTCCAGCTTCCAGAAGGCTCCTGTTTTCCTTGATCTGTGGCCCTTCATTCCATCTTCATAGCCTGCAACATTGGGCTGAATCCTTTTCACATTGCCGTACCTCTGATTCTCTCTTTTGACACTATCTTCCACTGTTAAAGGACCCTTGTGATTACACCGGGCCCTCCCAGATATGTCAGGATTACATCCTTTAATTAAATAACTAGCAAGCTTAATTCCATCTGCAACCTGAATTCCTCTTGACATTGTAACATAACATGTTCACAGGTTCCAGGGATTAGGAAGGACACAGACATCTCTGGGGAGTGTGGTGACATTATTCTGCAGACCAGAAGGAGCGCCATACAGTTTCTCAGAGGTGCCAACTGAGCCCTGCTGCCTGTGCATAGCGGAAACCCACTCATTTACATTCCTTCTGGCCTTCTCCCTCCCTGTCTCATTTTGTCCACTTCTTGACTTGTGCTTCCTGCAATCTCCTCCCAAATACATTCCTTTCCCCCAAATGCTCATTTCAAGATGTGTCTTGGAGGGACCCAAAGTAAGACAGTAACCTTGGGTAAGTTATTCAATCAGTCTAAGCCCTAGTTCCCTCCATCACAAAAGGAAAATACATGATACATCGTGAATCCACCAGAAGAGTTAGCTATTGTTGGAGGGGTGGCAGGTGGAGCACAGCAGGGACCAGACTTAAACAGATGAAAGTGGTCTTCCCTCCATGACACTAACCCTGATGGTCAGAGGGCTAGGGTGGGGAAAGCTGGAGGATTTCCTCTGAGGACATCCGTTTTCTTCTTGAAATGCATTTGCTATTGAGGGCAGTAAAGTGTGGTTTAGACTTTGGAGAGAATAATGAAGGCCAACTGGGGCAATGATAGAGAGGAGCTCGCATTTAGGACAAAGGAAGGGAGCGAGGAGAGACCTGGTATATTACCTAACCCCAACACTGAGGGCTGGCTGGACGTGAATGAAGGCATTTGTAGCTTAGTGTAGCCTCTGCTCAGCAGAATTTGACTCGGTTTTTCTGGGGCTGCTGAGAGCTCCAACCAGGGAGCTGGGAGAGGAATGAGCATGTTCTGAGAATGCTAGCTAGCCTCTCGCAGACTCAGCAGGGATCGGCTTCCGGCTCACGCAGCCATTCCACTGGAAGCTCCACTGGGCTCTGTCCAAGGTCTCGCACTTTTTCCCTTACTCTCCCTCCCGGTCAGTCCCACCTTTTTCGGGGCAGCAAGCTCTATTTACATGCTGATGGACCTACATTTGCATCTCAAATGCAGAGCCCACCCCGAGAGCCAGGCTTTATTTTACCAATTGCCTTTTGCCTAGACTATCTGGCAGGCACCTGAAACTTAACATTTCCAAAGCTAAACTCACGCCAAAACATGTTCCTGTCTCAATTAGTAGCATCATTAACCTCTGAGTTCCCCAAAACTAGAAATCTGAGGGTCATTTTATGCTTATTCCTCCAATCACACGTGAAATCCCCTTCCTCTTCTGCATTCCTGCAGCTTCAGTTTAAATATCCTGGACTCCATGCTTGACTAGTACAATCACCTCCACTAGAGATGTGGCCCCGTTTTTTTCCATTTGGTCGATGGCATCCTCCCAGATGTGGCACAGCATTTTTTACAAACTAAAACTGTAAAAAAAACCAAACCTGACAAACTCTGCTGACTGTGGCATAAAAACCAAATTACTCAGCATGACACACGCATCTTCACATAAGGCCCTAATCACCTCTGTTGCATCACCTTCCCTAGTAACAAAACTTTTTCTAGTTGTGACATTTTTGTTAAAAAACAAACAAAACCAAAACCCCACAATATCTCACAAAATCAATTTTAAAAGGAAAAAATTCAGGGGAAGAAAAATATCTGTATTCTCCTGCCTTGATTCTGGTTATCTGGAGTGTTCCCTGGGGATTGTGTATAGCTGAGACTTCTCATGGGATTCAGAGGCAAATCCAGGTTTGTCAACCACAGAGTTCTGTCATTCATACAGAAGCTCAACAAATCACATCAAAGAACCCAGACTACTATGATCTCTGCTAACTTAAGTATCGGGGTACAGAGAAAGGACACAAAAAAAGAGGAACCTGTATCAGCCGGTCTCCCAAGTTGCATTACTTCAGCATCCTCGCCCATATGAACATTCTAGACGATTGTCAAGCAGAAACTTTAAGAATGAAAAGGGTATCTGCACAACTTGCAAACCTGACTTGCAACATAAAGCACCTTTGTTACCCAAAACATTCCTGCCTCAAAATACTTTGGGAAAATGCTGAACCACTCTAGAAGTTTGGTCCTCTACACTCCTAGGTTTGAAGGGAAGCCCTTAAAGGTCTGAAACCATTGTTCTTGATTTGAGTCAGCAATGCATTAGTAAGAAAAGTGAAACCCTGAAAAAAAAAGTTAACTTCACAAGATGAATCGCTCCTACCATTGTTAAGTCAGACACGTAATTAGGTTGCCATGTTTACTTGGATGTGTGACGAGTAAACAATGTAACTGCAGAGGAACCTTAAGGTCTGGCTTCTATCAAGCACATTAAACCTTTAAGAAACACCGCAGGACGGTTGCATATTCACTAAGGACTCCAGAACCATGCTAAACAATAGAAGGGAGAGCCGATTAAGTCGTCATTCGTCAAAAGCGCCGTTTGTGATTGTAAGCCCTTCGTTGCAGCAACGGCTTCTTTTTCTCTGCTCCCACTTTTAAAAAATTGTTTCCAGGGTCGTCGTCTTCAAGCGCTACAGGACGTGCGCACACGGGTACCAGGTCCAGTGCCCCACAGTGTAGCGCGTCTGAAACTGGCCAGGTTTTGGAAAACATTCCCGGCCCTTCCAGCAGGTCGAGGAAAAGTAGGTGGCCTGCGCGCCAAAGGTTGCTGCCAATGCAACTCGCAACTTTTGAAATCAATCCTTTTTGCATCAGGGAACGGATGCCACCGCTCCTCGGCTTTGCAACCCCCCACCCCTCCCCCGAGACCAATCATTGCCGCGCTCGGGCCTGCACAGCGCCCCCGCCCCCTTCCCGGGCCGCACGCAGCAACCGAGCCGCTCCGGCCGATGCCCGCCGCCTCTTAAAGGGAGGTAGACAGCCCTTAAAGGCCCCTTAGCGCGGCGCACGGCGGAGCGCGGCGGCCCCGTCCCGGCAGGGGCCCGCGGAGCTGGGCCGAGCCCCCGCGGCGCCCAGCGTGGTCCGGGCCCTCCCGCCCTCCGCGCCGCCGGGAGCGGCATTTTTATTCAGGCGACGCTTAAGGGAGCCCGGCGCGCCCGGTGCATTGTGGGAGCGGCGGCGGCCCGTTTTCGGGAGGAGGCGGAGGGCGCAAAGCGAACCGGTAAGCGCCCGGCTCGGGGAGGGGGGGCGCGACACTAGGCTTAAAGGGGAATATTCGTCCGCAGGCCCCGGGCGGCCGTGCGGATCCCCCTCCCGGCCGCCCGGGCTGCCGAGAGTCGCGCACGGCCAGCGCGCGCCAGCGCTGCCTGCAGAGGGGCCGAGCCAGGGCTTGGTGGGGCCGCTTTAAAAAAGAAGCACCGCCCGCGCCGCCGCCGCCGCCGCCGCGCGGGGCCGGGGAAGGAGGGAGGGAGAGAGGGCGGGGGAGGAGTGGAGGGGGAGGGCGGCGGCGGCGACGTAGGGGTTAATTTTTTCGCCCGCCGACATTTTTGTGCGGCGGCGGCGGCAGCGGCCAGAGCGCGCGTGCGGCCGAGAACCCAGGCCGGTCCCCTTGGCCCGGCGCCTTCCCGCCACCCGCCCCCCCACTCCGCCGCGTGCGCCCTCCGCCCCGGGGCCGACGGCTGAGCCTGGGCACCGTGGCCGGGCCGGCTAGCGGGCTGGGGTCCTGCCGCACTCGCCCCGCTGCGGCCTGTGGGCCGCGCACGGTTCCCGCCGTCGCTGCCGCTTGGGAGGACGAACGGGCGGGCATGGCCCATCCAGCGGCGTCGCGCTGCCTCCCCTGGCCGCGACCAGCCAGCCGCGCTGCACAAAGAGCCCAGGCCCGATTGGCCTTTAAAGGCGGCAGCCAAAACTTTAAGGTGTTCCGGAGTTCCGTGGCCCTTACTCTGGCCGCTTCGACGTGTGCTTCATGGCGAGCGCCTGGTCGCTGCGCCCACGTCCCCTCGTCCCCTCCATTGTTGATGTCCTGGGCTTAGGGGCTTGGGGTAGGTAGGTATGAAGCCGGGGGTTGTACCCTCTCCCACCGCCACTATTGTACTTCCCCAGGCTTACGGCCAGCTTTGCCACGTATTTGAAAGAAATTTAAACGTGTCTGGAAAGGAAAGGGTTAACCGTTATCTTTAAATATTCATGTCATTGTTTTAAAGGTGTAAACTGGCGGCTTTGGGGTTGGAGTTGACAGCCTGGTTGCAACAAAAGCACATTCCTCCTCTCCGTCTTTGCCCCAGTAGTTGCTCTTTCTTCCACGCAGCCCCCCATTCCTAATCCCTTCCCAAAATCTAAGAATTTTTGACTCTTTAACGTTAGGATGTGAATGTGTGATTCGTGTCCCTCGTACCATTTGGAATTTTAAAACTCCTGAGTGCCTTCTTGGCTTGAGGTGTTTTAAACTTTTCCCTTTAAAAATCTGTGAAGCTATAACTAATGTTAAAAAGAAAGTTAGTCCCCAAAATTCCAAATTCCCCTCCTGTCCTTTTTTTTTTTTTTTTTTGGATGAGGATTAGAGTAGGATAATAACTGGATACCTAGTGATGGTTTTTTGTTTTGTTTTCTTCCTGGTAGGAGTGAGGCTGAGTTAAATGCAAGGCATTTTGAGAGGAAAGGACTTTTTCTTTTGGCCCAAACTCTTCCAAGTCAACGAGTCAACGTGCTATAGGACTTCCCTAACTCTCAAATGGCTTCACAAGTTCCCATCTCGGTCATTTGGTTTGCTTTCCTGCTACCCTCTTATTGGACAGATTGTTTTCTTGGAATGTTGCACAGTTGTAGCTTTCAGACCGAAATCATTGCTCACCCCAAACATGTTTCTGTAAAGACAGTTTGGATTACTGCCCAGACCCGGCCTTTGTGAGATTTATTTTACATGAGTGATGACCTTCTCAGGGATCGAAAACTCTATAATTGGGAATTATATTCTCGATTATACATTTTATAAGAGAAACTGACCCTAAAACTTGGGGTGTCTATTTCCATGTCTAATAGAATACAGTCTGGAGGTTTGTAAACCCTGGGAGCACATGTTGAGTTTTTGGGTTAGCCCCAAAGGTTTCAAACTCTGAAGTGCTGCTTCCGTTGATACCAAGTACAGCTTAATTTATCATTTTAGTTCTGTGGTGAAACAGTAAAGAGCAGTAGCATATTTTGTTAGTGATGTGTGTGTACTAGTTTGCTGAACAGATGTTTGCTTTCTAGGAACTTGCATTGCATTAAAACAGAAGTTTACACTGCTCTCATGAAGAAAGTGTTCTTTGCTGTGTTAAACAGCAATTCCAGTTTTCAAGTTGTATACTTTAGTGGGACTGCCTATTTTGGGTTGTGTTGTGTACTTCTGGCTCTAAACATTTTTCTAAAATTGAATTTAACATCATAAAGAATTTCACCAAATGCATTTTCATCAACAACCTTTTCCTGCGAAGTATCTAGTAGGTGTTTTATTTTTCTGTGTGAGATAGCAAAGATATCAGAAAAGCTGTCCAGAAAAGTCACTTTAGTAGAACACCTAGTTTCTAAATCACAGTGCTTAGGTGAAGTGACTAGACATTTTCTCATAACACTTCTCACTAGAAGAACCTTTGTGACACTTTTCAAGATGGCGCTGTATCCTGCAAGCACGCAGGCCTATAGCTCCTTCTTCAGAGGCGGTCTTGCTGCCCCTTGGAGCCCAGTTATAACAGCACAAACATTGGGTCTTAAGTAGAGGATGCCTGTGATGGTATGGTCACTTTAAAATGACTTATTCGGTTTATGCATCACTAACTAAACTGTTGCAGCCCCAAATCATCATTTCCCAGTAGTCTTACTGATTTCAGTCCTCTTCCTCTTTCCATTTAATTTTCACTTTCAAGTATTCACTTCTTGGTAGGTACTAGTGAAAAATCTTTTTCTTTTTTTAAGATTTTATTTGTTTTTAAAGAGAGGGAGAGAAATATCAATTGGTGGCCCCTCACATGCCCTGCAACCCAGGCATGTGCCCTGACTTGGAATTGAACTGGCGACCTTTTGGTTTGTGGGATGATGCTCAGCCCACTGAGCCACACTAGTCAGGGCAGTAGTGAGAAATCTTTTGATGGTGTTTGTGTTTTGGTGATAACTCAGGTTGATTTGTAAAGAAACCAGCAGACTAGGAGAGGAAGGAGAGGAGCCCAGCTGTGAGGTGTGTACACCCAAGAACCATGTCTACGCGGGAGTCCTTTAACCCGGAAAGTTATGAATTGGACAAGAGCTTCCGGCTAACCAGATTCACTGAACTGAAGGGTACTGGCTGCAAAGTGCCCCAAGATGTCCTGCAGAAATTGCTGGAATCCTTACAAGAGAACCACTTCCAAGAAGATGAGCAGTTCCTGGGAGCAGTTATGCCAAGGCTTGGTATGTGAACCATTATTTCTCTCATGTTTCCCCAAGTAAAGCGTCTTGACTGCAGTGTAGTAAAAAAGTCAAAAACCAGACTTCTCTCCTCCCATGTTGCCTTTTTAAAAAAAAATTGTAAGAAAGATTCAAAGGACAATAAATGGTCACTTACAGTATCGTAATTTGTTTGGAGGAGGAAGTGCTTGAGAAGCATGCAGAAATGTGCTGTAACCATTTATAAACTTTTAAGTATGCAATTGAAACAATTATGGTAAAACCATTTTTTATTATATCGATTTTTCTGGTTAGCTTGAGAATTAAGCAAAAACTTCTTTATGCCTTTATCCTAAACATTTCCTTAAAATGCTTGCATTGCCTTCATTGCCTTAAGAAAGGCAGTGGTGGTTAAGCAGTACATTGAGAGCAGTGACTAGGTTGCGGGTGGGTGTTTCTCCTCAATATGCGTTGTTTGAAAAGTCCCTTTGCGGGGAAAGGAGAAGAATATACGATATGCAGAAGGGGAGAAGACAGAACTGAGTCTGTCGTTGACCCCAGATGTCATCTGGAATCGAGAGCCATGTTTTTTTCTTTACTGAATTCCTGATGTCATCAGTGGTTTGCCTTTTTCTGAACATAGAGCTCAGAAAGAAATTCTAGGCTATTGGGATCTTGTTAACTTTAATTGTGTGGTTTGACAGTACATCATGCAAGACTGTGATCATTTTGCGGTTTGATTGTTCAGTGAGTATTCTAGGAATTTGGAAGTTTTAAAGTTACCGTATGTGACTTGATCAGTTTTCTTTTCATAAGATTTTTATTTCATTTATTTTTGCCCATTGTTTTGTTATGAATACAACCTTGGGTTTGAACCCAGGATACTCCTTTCTTCCCTGATATACAAAGCAGATAAAAGCAGAGTTGCTCTGATTGGGAGAGCGGAAAGCTCACAGCCCACACTCTAGGAGCCTCAGGACTCCCAGGAGCTCAACTTTAAGTGTCCTCACCTAGCTGATGTCTGAGTGTGGGGAAATACCACATGAATGAGTTGGATTAGATACCAGCTTGTCAAGGAATAAAAACATGGACAGTTCCTGATTTATGACGGTTCAATTCATGATTTTTTGACTTTATGATTGTATGAAAGCAATACACATTCAATAGAAACTGTACTTGGAATTTTGAATGCCAACTTTTTCCTGGCCAGCGATATGCAGGATGGTGGTGCTCTCTTGTGATAGGCAGTGAGCTGCAGTCCTAGTCAGCAAGGAGATCATGCGGGGATATAATTGATACTCTATCTAGAGTGTACTTGTTGCGTTAGATGATTTTCCCAACTATAGCTAACATCAGTGTTCTGAGCACATTTAAGTTAGGCTAGGCTAAACTATGATGTTTGGCAGATTACATGTATTAAATGCATTTTGACGTAGTAGGAACATTGAGAAGCATCTGTGTGCTGAAAAGCTCTTTGACAGCTTTATAAAGAAAAATAAGCCACTGAATGGGGCAAAAACAATGCAGTAAAAACCTTAGAGATAAAGTAACAATTCCTCTTTAGAACTTACCCTTTTGATCTTTCAAGCACTTGGGCATGCAAGTGCTTTGATAATGAGTAGGATTATTTGCTTCTTCCAGTAGCGCCATGACTCTTGGCCAGGACCCTTAGACCTGGAATCCATGTCTTCCATTTCCTCTGCTCTCTGTCATTTGGTTTCTAAGTCCAAGCGTATTCAAAGGGAGGGGAAGAGCTGCATCACCTATAATCCTTAGTTGTGGCAAAAGGAGACAGATATCAACAGCAAGGGGAGAGGAAGGGAAAAGCAGATATAAGAACACAAAGGCAAGGGATTCTGGTCACACATGGTTTTTGAGAAGTAAATGAAAGGTGGTCTCCCTTTTCCAGAAAAATACACATCCACAAAATTTGCCTTCATGGCATTTACTAAGAGTAGCTGCGGACCCCAGGTTATAAGCAAATAGGCGCTGAAGGAAGCGTGGTATTAAAGCTATATACAGAAGTGGTATGTCCTTTTTTTTTTTTTCCCCAAGATTTTATTTTCAGAGAGAGGGGCTGGGAGGGAGAGATATAGGGAGAGGAACATAGATTGGTTGCCTCTTGCACACCCCCAACCAGGGACCTGGCCTGCAACCCAGGCATGTGCCCTGACGAATCAGACCAGCAACTCTGGTTTGTAGGCCAGTGCTCAGTCCACTGAGGGACACCAGCCAAAGCCAGAAGTGGTATTTCTTGATGGTATAACTTTGCTTTGAAATCAGATCTAGAGTCGTATCCTGACAATTGCTTACTAGTCACTAATGCTACTCTGTGCATGCTCTTAACCCTCCTGCACCTCAGTTTCCTGATTTATACAATGGGATAATAATATTTTTTGTAAATTGCTATACCAGAAATTATTATGTATGTATATGCACTATGTGTATATGCACATGCATATGTAGTACGTATATGTATGTATGGACATTTATGCACACAAATGTGCTTATCTGTTAATTTTTTTCTAAAAGAGTGTCATATTCCCTGGATTCTAAGATGCTGTTAATTGAAGGGCAAACCATAACAGTAGTTAAATGTACACATATTAGATGTATTCTAACTATAAAAAAAAGTTAAAATGAGTGATATCTTAAGAACCTGGTACATCTGTTGCCTGGTACTTGAGAACTGTCAAGTGTTCATAGTTTCTGGTAGTGGTGATGGTGTGATGATTTGGGTTTTCATGATGGATGGTTTCGATCTTGCTGAAAAACTTGTGGAATTCCTCAGTGCTCAGATTTATACTTGAGGCTTTCTCCCCTCTTTGGCATCTCCCTTTGTGCCCACCTGCTCTTACCTGGACTGTCCCTCTGTCTTCTACCTTGATACCCTAGTTTTTTCAGGCCCATGGCCCATCTCAGGCTCGGGCTGTCTTCCTTCCTGGAAATTCGATAGGTGATTTGTAAACTGATCACTATGGACCAGTGCTGTCCAAAGGAAATACGTAAGCCACATATGTAATTTTGAATTTTCTAGTAGTCACATTAAAAAAAAGTAGAGTTAAGTGAAGTTAGTTCTGTTTCCTTTAACCATAGAAAATATTATTTCAACAATTCATATAAAACATGAGGTTTGGGGTTTTTGGTACTGAGTATGTAAAATCTGGTATGTATTTTACACTTATTTGTGTATCTCTATTTGGAATAAATACATTTCACATGCACCACATGTAGCTAGTAGCTTGTGAAAGGAAATGAGGATAAGGAGAGCTTTTTTTCAGCCCTAGGAACATGCTCAAGGGTCATCAGTTAAAATGCTGATGGTAGGTATAAATAGAAATTAAATGCTTTACAAATATATGTAATACAAATTTAAGTTTACCCAAATTAGAAACATTTAAAGCTAACATTCAGTGACTTTTTTTTGTATATCTTTCTGTAATCCTTCAGTTTATATGAAAACAAAACAAAAACTATATCTCACTCATTTCCAAAGTGAATAGTCATACACTCAGAATGACCAGTTAGAATGATCAATTTGGGGAGAATCAATAAGAGTTAACTGTGGTTCTTGTTCTGTTTCCACTTAAATGCTAAAGAACAATTGTTGAGTTTCTGAGATTCTGCATCTACACTCAGCTAATCCATGTGAAAACTGATCGTTGGTAAGGTAGGTTCCATTGTCACAGATTTGTGAGACTTGCCTTTCTGAAACTAAACTCTCCGTTCCCTAACTAGATCTTCTCCAGTTAGGGAAAGGAGCTGCCATCTGGCATAGTAAAAACAAATCAGCCTGTCTTCACAGAGTCCATGACTTTTTATTAAATTTGATTTTATTTTTTGCATTAGTAATAATGGACCAAGACCTGGGAAAATAAGGTACCCCTGTGCCCCGGCCTTTATTGGGTATGTCGCTTTTGTGGTGCTGAAATAGTTGTACCTCAGCATTTTACTTATGCAAAATATGAAAGGTACACAAGTCTTTGTTTCTTGTGATTTGATATGATTTATTCTTATTTCCTTTGGAAATCTGAATTGAGAAGATGGCATCCCCTTGCTTCTTTTTGTACTTCATCCTGTCTTTTTCTCCACCTTTGGCTCATGGATTTGCACAGGTGAAGTCAGAGGGTAGGTGACATCCTTTGGGACAGGTGTAGAAAAGCACTCTACTCAGCCTACTTGGTGGGAATTCCAGTCTGAATTTGTAAAATGCCTGCATTACAGGTGATTTTTAAAGAAGTATAATTTACAGGAGTTGGTCTTGATGGTTTCTAAACTAATTTCAGGAAAAGAGAATTATGTTTAATTAGCCTATCGGTTGTCTATACAGTGGTACCTTGGTACTCATTGTTAATTTGTTCTGGAACTCATAATGAGTGCCAAAACCAACTGAACGATGAAGCATTTTCTCTTGCTGGCGGCGCTGTGACTCATAGAAGTTCTAGCAAGTGCCGTGAGTCCCAAGCAAGTGACTAGTGCTGAAACATTTTATTCTCCTTAAAATGCAGTAAGTACAGGGTTTGATGATGTCTTAAGCCGGTGAGTACCAAGGTATGGTTATATCTTTCTAAATGTTTAACAACAATTTTAAGAAATTGAAATATTTCCAACAGACTTACTTAGCACATTTTTCCCCTTTGTATGATAAGTTAGTGAAAGTGACTTTTTTTTTTTTTTTTTTTTTGCAAGGGGAATAACATGGAATTTTAAGGTTCCCTCTTAAAAAAAAAAGAAAAGAAAAATGCTTTCAGATACCAGAATGTGTGTGTGCTTGCTTGGCTGGAAATGATGAATTCCTGTTCTGTCTTTGCCCGCTTCTTTTTTCCTAATTTGTTATTTTTATTATTGACTAAAATGTGTAAGTAATAAAAGCATTTTATGTGTATAAAATACTTGACAAATTTTCTGTTGGGGAAACAGAATAACACCTAAAGATAAACTCAATGTAGAGAAAACAACCCAAGTTCCATTTATGCTGTTCTTATCTTTAAAGACATTTTATATGGTGCCAGTCACATGATACAGTGTTCAAATGGAAGTGTCTATTCAAGGCATCATTAGGGGCTACACTTCTATCATACTGAGGTTGAGTCTCTGTGACTAACAAATTTTACTTTTATTTTCTATCTTCAGCTAGTTAGGTTTCACATTTATTTCAGTTATGCTTCTTGATAGTAAACACATTGCTATACTGGCAGCATGCATTGTTCCATAAGTATCTCATGTAAAACACTCCTATGCAGAACACTGGTGGCATAAGATGAAATGGCCTTTCCTGTTGATTTGTGGATGATGATGGCAACTTCCATCTTTACAGGTATTGGAATGGATACTTGTGTCATTCCTTTGAGGCATGGCGGTCTTTCCTTGGTGCAAACGACAGATTACATTTATCCTATCGTTGATGACCCTTACATGATGGTAAGTTTGACCAGTTATGTTTTTACATCTGGAACTGCCATTTGTCTGGTTTTGGGTTGTAGCTGCGGTTTTGTATGTGTGTATGTTTTCTTGTTTTTGTTGTATCCAAATAGTTCTCATCTCACCATTGACCTGACTCTGTAAGTGCAGTCATTTGATCTGTTTCCTGCTCACACTTGATACTGCATGTCAGCAATTAGGCAGAAGTCCCTCTGCTGCTTTTGTATAAGAACACCTGCTCTCTACTAACAGTCTCTGTTGACTGATACGCTTGTAGTTATTTTCTTTTTTTTCAATATTTGTAAACTCCTCATTCCTGTGTTTCAGGCCAAAGATGTTATGATACCCTGTAATGAGTCTGATCCTAGATGTTTCCTTCTGAGTAGAGGTCATCACAATTTAACTTCTTGACCATTTATTCTGATTCTGGCCACTCCCCTAACCCCCAACTGTGTTATAGACTCACTGTGTAGAGGATGCATCTGAACTGCTAGATTGAAGTTCCTAGCTACTGATCATGCCTGGCTTGGATATATTTCCCAAATGCTCATTGCATGCTTGCAACCAGCAACCCTTTGATCTACTCGGCTTTAACCTTCCATCCTACCAGCCAAGAGGAACAGATGAGGAGACTAGGAACATCCTGTCGTTAGGAAATATCAGAGGTCCTTCCTGTGTGCCAAGGGTGCTGGGATCAAGCTGCACACATAGGGACTTGGGCCATGAGGCAGCTAAATGGGGGTGAGGGTGGGGTGTTCGCCTCTCAGGTGACAGTGACAAGCACACAGGTTAATAAAACCTGTTTTCTCTCCATACATCCATCTGTTTTCTCCTCTATAGCAGCATTCCTGAGAGACTGAGGTGTGCCATACCCCAGGTGTCCCACCTGACCAGGTGGCAAAGGCAGCTAGAGCGGGGGGAATGCATCCTTTTTCTGGCATCTCTTAAAAACATATGAGAGAACCCAGGACAGAAGGGACAGTAAATCACTGCAGCCCAAACCGGCACTTGGCACCCAAGTTGCAAGCCACTTGTTGCCTCATTACTTTTGAAACTGAGTCACAGAAGGCTATTAAGCTAACTGCTAATCTGCCGGAAAAATCATTTAAAAAATCTAAACAAGGAAAAAAAACAAATTTTAATATTTGGGAGTTTTATTATCCTTATGTCAGAAGAAAATTTTGTCATTTTCTCCTATACTGTGAGAGAATGGTAACTTAAATTTTAAAAATTTCTAGTGGCAATTAAAAAAAATTTATTATTACATTTCTGTTCAGTCCTATTTTAAAGTTCCTTAACAAAATCTGATACTTCATTGGGAAATGTTTCTTTTCCTTTAGAAATCACTCTGACTTCAGGCTTAGATGTGTTTTATCTCTTCTGTCATTTTGTTTTTCAATTAAAATTATTTTTCTATTCGTCTTCTATAGGCTTGAAAAGAAGCCACAAAAATTTCTTCATCCAAGTATATAAAAACCATGTTCTCTATAACCAGTCAAATCCACATTATTTTTAGACTCTGTTTAGGATAAGTGGCTGTTTCCAAGTTTGCTTTGCAGCACTTGTTTTCACTCCACAGCTCTTCCTCCCAGACCTTGTTCCCTCTAACATCTTCCCACTCCCCGTTCTCCATCTAAATAAACTGCAGGCTTCTCCCAATATTTAGAATGGGAAAGAACGTAGAAATTGTTTGATCTGTCTGAGAAAGAAAAGACAGGAACAGGAATCACTTGGAAAGAGTGAATGGCCTAGTGATTATGTGATTTAGGAAAGGTAAAGAGTCTGCAAGTCACAGAAACAGCACCCTATCCCAGCGGCTGCCATCCCTGGAAAGTCCCCGGGTTCTCTTTGGACTTACTCTGTAGACCCACTCTTTGTTTCTACACATGGAAAGTCCCCCTCTTGTCCTTTCTCATGTCTCTGTTCTCTTCCAGGGCAGGATAGCGTGTGCCAATGTCCTCAGTGACCTCTATGCAATGGGGGTCACAGAATGTGACAATATGCTGATGCTCCTTGGAATCAGTAATAAAATGACTGACAGGGTAAGTAGGAGATGGGCCAGCTGCATACTGTCTCTTGTCTTGGTCACTTCACTGGACTGGTCAGATGCCTTTTCCCATCTGTAAAGTGAGGAGCCCAGGCTGCATGACTTCTGTATTTCATCATGTTCTCCATTTTTTGGCAGCTATCAGTGAATTAAAATAGTCTGGCCTATTCACATTTTCATTGCCACTGCCTGCTTCCCTTTCTCCTGGGTAGACTGAAGCCAAGACATTTATGCTTGTTTTAAAGTCTAGGCCACAGTAATAGCACTTCCACGCCAGGCCTGTGGACTGGGCCAGTCTTACAGACCCATGGCGGGCGGCACCCCCAGGGAACAGGCACCCTCTCCTTTGGTTGCTGGTTGGTCACTGGTATAGACAGTGATGGGACTGGGGCGTCACGTGTGTTCCTGCGCTTACCTGGCAGTGTCTGTGGTCTTGCTGTCTGTACCTGTTCTCCAACCCAGAGGTGAATTAATTCCCATTTAGATTATTTTTGAAAGATACTGGTGTTTGACCCCCAAAAGAAGTTTCCCCTACCTCGTAGAAATGAGAGTTTTCAGAAGGCCCTTTTCTGCCTGCACAAAATGGGTGCCTGGGCCATCACTTGCACACAGTTGTCTGGGGAGGATGGCGGGTGTGTATTAAGGGGGTCTTGGAGTTCTTGAGGGCCATTTAAAGAGCTGGCTCAGGTTTCAGAGAGCCCTGTGCGCCCAGTCACATTCCAGTTTTTACTTCTCTGTTATCTGGGCTTCGTTCACATTGTAACATAGAATATCTTCCAGCTTTTGATAAAATGGCTACAATGAAAACTATTATTCGTCCTCCTTTCTTCCTACTCCCTGTCCAGTCTGTAAACTTCCAGGACTTCTATAGGGTTTTATGGTCCTCTTTATAACTGCAAGTGTAGACTCTTTTCTTAGTTTTGAACTAAATTATATGACTTTTAATTTGTGTCCTTTTAAACCCTAGGAAAGGGATAAAGTGATGCCCCTAATTATACAGGGTTTTAAAGATGCAGCAGAGGAGGCAGGAACGTCTGTAACGGGCGGCCAAACAGTGTTAAACCCCTGGATTGTTCTGGGAGGAGTGGCTACAACTGTCTGCCAGCCCAATGAATTTATCATGTAAGTTGGTTTTGTTCCATGTCACCTGGCCTGGTTCTCTTTCTTTTCTTAAGATAGATTCATTGAGATAGAATTTGCATACTCTGAAGTTCATCCATTTGAAGTATGTAGTTCAATGGTCTTTGGTAATCACAGAGTTTTGCATCCATCCCCAGAGTCAGTTTTAGAACGTTTTCATCAACCCAGCAAGGAACCCTGCCCCCCTTAACTCATTCCCCATCCTGGCTTCTTTCACTTTGTATACTATTAGCATAATATTTTTAAGGTTCATCCATTTTATAAGATCTATCAGTACTTTGTTCCTGTTTTTTAAATTTTAATATTTTTTATTGAAGTATTCATATAACAAAATTTTACATAATATAAAATCCAGCATTTTAAAGTATACAATTCATTTTTTGTATTCACAAGGTTGTGCAACCATCACCATTATCCAGTTCCAGAATATTCCAATCCCCCGCCCCCCCCCCCCGCCAAGAAGCTCTTTACCCGTAAACAGTCATTCCCAGTTCCCTCCTTCCTCCATCCTGTGGAAACCACTAATCTACTTTCTGTCTCTGGATTTATCTATTCTAGACATTTCATATGGATGGAATCATACAATATGTGGTGTTTTGTGTCTGGCTTCTTTTAGTACAATGCTTCGAAGGTTCATCCGTGTTGTAGCATGTATCAGTACTTCACTCCTTTTTATGGCTGAATAATGTTCTATTTTGTGGACATGCCACAGTTTAATCACAGGTGATAGATATTTGTGTTATTTTCACCTATTATGAATGATGCTGTTATGAACATGCATAACATGTTATTATGTGAGCATAATGTTTTGATTCTCTTGGGTATATCTACCTGAGAATTACTGGGTCATGTGGTAACTGTTTAACTTGAGCAACTATCAAACTGGTTCCTAACAGCAATGTAGGAAGATTCCAGTGTCTCCGCATCCTCTGTAGTATTTGCTACTGTTTTTATTTTAATTTTTTTGACAGTAGCCATCCTAGTGGGTTAAGGTGATATTTAACTGTGGTTTGATTTCCATTTCCCTGATTGCTAATGATATTGAACATCATTTAATGTGGAGATTTTTTGTTGTTGTTTTTTGTTTTGTTGGGTTTTTTTAGCCAACCCTAGGTCTTTGGAGAAGTTTCTCTGTTGGCACAAATTGCCACTTTCCATGTTTCATGTCTTATTAAGAAAAGCCACCCTGTTCTATTTGCTGAAGGAAGTTCAAATTCCATTTGTTTTCCTGGTTTTGTGAATAGATACTGATAGGCACTGTGTTCACATGACACAAAATTCAAAAGGTATAAAAGGCTCTGCAGTGTAGTCTCTCACGCATCCCACATCGCCAGTTTCCCTTTCTGGAGGCAACCACTTTTACCATTTGTCAGTAATCTGAGTGGCAAGTAGAAAACTTACTGATCTCTTGGTCTGAGTTTGAAACTTAGATCTGAAATCACCAAAACATTAGACCTACAGATTTGTGCAAAATCCCATATCCTGAGAATCAGTCTTTGTTTCAAAAGTCTTGTTGCCTCAGAAGCATGGTGGATGGATCTATATTGAAAATAACACACCAGCATGAGCAAATCAAGGCCTAATCCGGCCTTTACCTTTGAAAGCTAAGTGATTTGCTGCTTTGTACATTTTATTGGGGGGCTGGATCTGGTAGGTAATTGATAGACTCCTATATTCTCTTTCAGTGTTTTTGTTCCAGTAGTAGTATCCTCAGTAGCAAGTTTCAAGGCTCTAACACATGGTGGTGGTGGCTTAAATATACGTGTTTGCAAAGGCAATATTTTTACCAGACTTTCTTTCTCCTATTAAACTGGTGATGAATTTACCTCCTTGGTTAATTTGACCCAGGCCCTTGTTGTGTGTTGTTTTTTTTTTAGGCCAGATAATGCGGTGCCTGGGGATGTGCTCGTTCTGACCAAGCCCCTGGGGACACAAGTGGCTGTCGCAGTGCACCAGTGGCTGGATATTGTGAGTGACCCTGCCTGCAGTGGGGGAGGAGGAGCTGAGCAAAAGTGTGCAGGACTGTGAGATTTGGAGAAAAGCACATTCATTTACATTCAGGTCAGGTAATCTCTTCAGTCTGCTAGTGCAGGGAGTATGCTTTAATTTTACTAAAAGATATATCTGCTCCTGAAATAAGTGCTGCTGCTGGTCTATACAGGAAACCCTTCCCCTTGGACCTGTTTTATTCTGTTTCAGGTCTGCATCTTCCAAATGTCATCAGGTTGTCTTCTAAAAATGAGCTCCTTTAGTTTCACTACCAGGGAGTTTAGTATCACTCATGCCCTTATAGAAATACTAGGAATTGTCCATATTCTTTTATTAATTCGGAGTTCCATGTACTGAATGCTTAAAGGAGGTAAGCCCCAGCTTGGGGTTTCAAAGAAGCTCTATAAAGAGAATTTGTAAGTCAGTGAGCTTGGTTTATTTGACGCTGAGATAGCTTTGTTTTTCATATCTTAAACATCACTAAAAAATAATATAGAAGACAGATGATGCATTGTAGAATTGTGTACTTGAAAACTGTATAATTTTGTTAACCAGTGTCACCCCAATAAATTTAACAAAAAGGAAAAAAATAATACAGAAGAGAATGTGTGGAAAGTTTGGTGCTCGGGATATAAATAAGATCAGGGTTACTGACAATTTAAATTATTTTAGTTATGAGGTTTTTGGTTGTTTTTCCTTGGTTGTTTTCTCTTTTCAAACTAATTAGTAACTCAGAACATTTTGATGAATAATTGTCTTGTAGAGAGAGCATCTGGAATAGATGGATATTTATCCTGAGTAACTTTTCCACTGAGCTATAATCATATTTCATTTAAGATTTTTCCCATTGTCATAACAACTCAAAAATTAATACAATTTGTGGTGTGTCTCACATATTTTGATGCTTTTAATTTCTACAACTGTCATCTGAAACTACCAGTCCTGATAAACAGTTGAAAAAGAAGAATAATTTTATGTTATTCATAACCAAGTATGTTCAGTTGATAGAGCAGGGGAAGGAAAATCTCTAAGGCTGCCACAGTCTAGTTATTCTTCCATTCTCATCCAGTGATTATGGGGAGATTTCCCATCAAGTATGGTCATCTGTAAATCAGACTAGAAGGTTATTACTGGGCAGTAATTCACAGAGTTGTTTTGCAATGCAACTACTCATATCTAAGTAATTTAGCAAGGGAGTTGCAAGCAGGTGAGGGAAAGGGGCATCAAAGATGAGGGGTTTGGGATCCTTCTCTCCTCCCCACCCCACCCCCAACTCGACACCTTTGCTTTTATACCAGTTTTTTTTAATGCTCAGAATTGGAAAAAAAGCAAGTTTCAAAGGCTATGTAACAGTACAATACCCTTTTCATAAAAGTCAGAAGCAACCAAAGAGCATATTGTTTAGGCATCTGTATGTGAGAGCACTTTTTTGAAAGACAGGGGAATAATTACAAGTATAAAATTCAGAATAGTTGTTACCTCTTGCAGGGGGTTGGGGAACAATGGACTAAGGGAGGAACACGTAGAGAGAATTAAGGTATTTTTACATTGAGTGGTAGATTATTGGGTATCATTAAAAAATAAGTGAATCCATGAATGATGGTAATTAATGGACCATAATGACATTATGTCAAGAATCCATAATCATGATTTAACTTCTTTGAAGATCGACTAAAGAAAAAGGGAAACACCTTTTTCTCCTTACTTTTATGATATCCGTTTTGGTCACCATGGCTCTCCTCAGCGCACGTATAATCAAAGTTGCTTTCACATTCATTTGTCCATAGGATGCCTTGATCCAGAATTCAAGTAAAGTCAATAGTGGTAAAATTATATGAAAAATAAAGCCATTGGCTTAATAGGGGAGATGGGAAGGTGAACCAAAAGACATTTAAAATTGTTCCTGTGTGATTCACACCCTAGCGCAGAGGAGAAGGGCCCTCCGCCCAGTGTTAGCACACTTTTCATTGCCTGGGCGCTGCAGCCATGTGCCCTGCTGCTTCTCTAGCCGGTAAATTGCGGCATTTGACTACAGAAGTGTGGTATGAGAACACAAAAAGTACCTCTATGGCATGTCTAAGGGACACCTAAAATAATAGTTGCGGGAGGAAAAAAGAGACTTAATTTTGCATACAAAATTAGAAAAATAACATTCCCTATAGGATGACTGAAGAAAAATAGGCTTTTTCTTTCAGTGGTTAGAAGTAAGGATTAATCACATTTTTTCCTTCTTTTCTCCCTCACCTATTTTCCTATACTAGCCTGAAAAATGGAATAAAATTAAACTAGTGGTCACCCAAGAAGATGTGGAGTTGGCATACCAGGAGGCGATGATGAATATGGCAAGACTCAACAGAACAGGTATTGTTCTGGAGACAGGAGGCTGTCTCCAGGGATTGGCACGTTTTCAGAACACGGTCAAGATGGGAAATATTTTAGGCTTTGCAAGCCACAGATGGTATCAGTTGCATTGAATCTTTTCCTCCACAACTCTTCAAACATGTAAAAGAAGACCATTCTTAGCTGGAGGAATAGGCCAAGGGCCATATTTCCCCAGTGACTGCAGACCCTCCTCTGTTGGTCCCTGGTTTTAGACAGATTTGGGTTTGAGAACAGAAAATGCATGTATTTCTTTTATGTATTTCCTTTCAGCCAAAGGGGGAAAGCAAGATTCTATTCACAGGATTATTAAAGAGAAAAAATGTCAGTGAAGGACCAAAAAGAATGACTAACACATGGCATACAAAGTTTACTCATTCAGTGTATGTTTAATGAGCACCTATAGTGTGTCCTTCACTCTTCCAAGTGCTGGGGACAGTGCATTGAACAAAAGAGACAGAAGTCCCTGCCCTCTTGGACCTTACATCCCAAATGCTGGTTTGCTTCCAAATTATCTGCACAGTGCAACCCACACAGGTGCTTCTCTAGGAATAAAATATGTGCAGGGCTTAAGGCACAGCAGTACAACACCCATGTGCTCGCCGTCTCATGAGAAACAGTGGCCTTGGTTGCCAGATTTGCTCCTCTCACACCCTGGTCCTGGATTCCCATTTAGGGTAACCATTGTTCTGAATCTAATATTTCTTCTCATGCTTTTAAAATTTTTATCACATACACTTGTATGCTTAAGCAATAAACTAGTTTTGTACTTCTTTAATGAATCGTGCCTATATATGTTTTTCTTCCTGTTTTGTTCACTGTCCAGTGTTTTTGAGCATCATCCCTGGTATGTGTACTTGTATTTCATTCATTTTCTCCACTGTATAACTTTCCACTCCATGACTTACTTATCTGGCTTACTACTTACTGTTGGGCATTTGGGGTACACATGTCTAAGAGGTCTCTAGTGACTGAGATTTCCTTTTTTTTTTTTTTTTTTTTTTTAATTTTTTTTTTAAATCCTCATATGAGGACATACTTACCAATTTTAGAGAGAGGGAAAGGGAGGGAGAGAAACACCAGTGTGAGAGAGAAACATCAGTTAGTTGCCTCTTGAATATGCTCTGACCAGAAATTGAACCCACGGGCTTTTGGTTTACAGGATGCTTCAACCAACCAAGCCACACTGGCGAGGATGCCTCATCTTTTCTAGGTGGTGCTGACTGTTTTCCAGAGTGGCTGTACAAGTTCATAATGATGCTACATTTAAAAAAGTCTTTAATATATTTTTCTCTTTCTGTTTATTGTCTATATATTTTTTCTGTTGTAAAAAAACATACTCATTATGGACAAGTTTTTAAAAAACTAAAAAAGGAGAGAAAAAACATTGTCCATAGTCCCAGCACCCCAAAACAGCTTTTATTAATATTTTTATATATTCTTCCAGGATTTTTTTGTTTTGTTGGTGGCTTGCTGTTATTTTATGGTTATTTTATGGTTATGGTTAAACTTTTGGTTATCATACATTTTCTATGTATTTGCAATCTGCTTTTATTCATTTAATATTACTAATTTTTTTCTATATTATATAATTATAGTACACATAATTTTTAATGGCTAGATGTTCTGCCAGAGAGAGATATATACCATAATTAATTTACCTTTCGCTTACTTTTGAAGAATTGATTTTGAGATCATATTTTTCTGTATTTTCTCCCTGCATTCCAGGAATAGTTCTTTGGCTATATTCCAAAGCTGAATAGTAATTATTTCTTTGTCCTTACAATGTCTCATCACTTACAATCAAGGCTTCTCATTTGTGTTTGTGTTTCTGTTCCTATGACACTTAAACTGTTTAAAGAGTCTTTCTTCTTTTTATCCTTCAAATTAACTAGTTTAACAATGGGAAAGTGATTGGTAATGGATTTACTTTTATAAACGTGGATTACTATTTTGCTTATATTTGAGCATTTATGATTTCCCATCCTTACTTTTTTTACACATTGTTGGTAGGAATGCAATATGGCAGAATGCTTGTGAAGGAGTATTTGGTCATATCTAGCAAAAATTATGCACACATTTATTTGGCCTAGCAATGCCACTTCTGCAAAACTGTCCCAGAGATAACAGTGGCCAGAATATGAAATGATGTGTACAAGGCCATTCATTGAAGCACTATTTATAATTGCAAAGAAAGGAAATCCAATGTCCATCCATAGATGACTGAATTCTTGTCTGTATGCATACATTTGACTATAAAGTAATAAATAAGTCTTTATTACTAGGGAGCTCTCTCTAGGATATGATTAAATGAAAAAAAGCAAGGCTCAAAATGATGTGTACAGTATGCTACATATGCTACATTTTATGTAGACATATGAATATGAAGTAATGTGTATTATACTTCAAAAAGAAGCAGTGGCAACAAATGATTAATAAAAATTGTATGTATAACAGACTAAGGGAAAAGCAGACTCTGAACATGCATTGTTTTATAAGTTTGACTTTGGAATGTTTTGTCATTTTCTATGGTTTAAAAAATTTAATAAAGACCACATCTTACAAATCCAAACCACATTTTTTAATTATATTTTATTGTTCATGCTATTACAGTTGTCCGAATTTCCCCCCTTTACCCCGTCCACCCAGCCCCCACCCCACTCCCTCAGGCCATCCCCCTACTGTGGGTCATGTCCATGTGTCATATATTACCTCTGGATAGTCTGTTCCCTGTGCTATGATTTACATCCCTATTCTTTAGCTGTTGCACCAGTTTGTACTTCTTAATCCCTTCACCTTCTGCCCACCACGCAGACCACCATCTCCCCCCAGCCCCGAGTCTGACAACCATCAAAACGTTCGCTATGATTGTTTCTGTTCTTGTTTGTTTTGTTTTTTAGATTCAGTTGTTGATAGATTGGTATTTATTGCCATTTTATTGTTCATATTTTTTATCTTCTTAAAGAAGACCTGCTGACGCCATTTTTTAAAAAACGTGTCTAATATATATCAACTTAATGGCAAAACCACATGGGGAAGAATTATATGAAAGAAGCTAAGTAAAAAATCTAATCTTGAATTTGAAATTATCAGTATAAACTTGCATTTGTTCCCCCTCAAAAATGCTTATTTCTAAGCCTTTCAAAAAGGTCTAATAGCAATGATAACCTGTTAATAATGAACTCCTGGTGCCAAGATTCTGATCTGAAAGTTACCATTTTCCATTAAAAAATGCCAGGACTCCTTGGGGAAATGGCCGATTCCAACTCTGGGACAGGAAATACAAAACATAAACCTGGGCCATTCCTGTGCTTTGAAAGTAATGGAGCTATCAGCAACTGATAGAAGAAGGTCACTTCACATAGCTTGAAGAGGCTCCCACCAGTCAAATTAAAGGGGGCCAGACAAAGGGAGTATTAAAAAGAAGAGTGACCACAGTTAAAAGTATATCGGGTATCTAAAAATCAATGACATAATGATCAAAACATTTTTGGTCACCTTTGGAAGTTGCTAGGACACCAGCTTATTCTGAAAATAAGTAAAGGGAACTAACCACATATTTTACTGTTCTTGTACAGACTATATTTTGGGGAAACCAAATAACATTTTTTAAAAAATTCTTCGTACAGGAATCACATCTAATAAGGGCGGGAAGAATGATTGAATTACAAATTTGTGCTTTACTTATTTTATTATTATTATTATTATTATTATTATTTTGCCAACCCTTTGATTTAGTAAACCCCAATAATAAACATCAGTGGCTGTTAAAATTGCAGTGATATTGGTGAAAGAATGGAAAAATAAATCAATGGAACAGGCTAGAGAGTCCAGAAATATACGCACATAAATACAGTCAGCCGATTCTTGACAAAAGAGCAACAACAGTTCAATGGAGAAAGGATAATCTTTTCAACAAATGGTGCTGAAACAACTGGATATCCACAGGCAAAAAATGATTATAAACACAGGCCTTATACCTTTCATAAAAAGTAACTCAAAATGGACTATAAACCTAAATGTAAAGTGCAAAACTGCTGAACTCCTAGAAGATAATACAGAAGAAAATGTAGGCGACACCTTTGGTTTGGTGGTGTCTTTTTAGATACAACAGCAAAGGTACTGTCCATGAGAGAAAAAATTGACAAGTTGGATTTCATTAATATAAAAAACTTATGCTCTATGAAAGACACCAAGAGGATAAGAAGACAAGCCACAAACGAAGAAAAATCTTTGCAAAACACAGTTCTGACAAAGGACTGGTATTCTGAATATACAAAGAACTCTTCAAATTCAATGTTAAGAAAGCAACCCAATTAAAAAATGTGCAGAAGGTCTGAAAAGACACCTTACCAAAGAAGATATACAGGTGACAAATAATCCTATGAAAATGTGCTCCACATCATATGTTATTAGGGAATGGCAGTTTAAAACAAGATACTATTCAGTACTACACGCCTACTAGAATGGTTTAAGGCTAAAACACTGACAACTAAACGATGACAAGGATGTGGAACAGTAGAAACTTCGATTCATTGCTGGTAGGAATGCAAAATAATACTGCCACTTTGGAAGACAGTTGGGTGGTTTGTTAAAAAGTTAAATATACTAATATGATCTAGTAGTTGTGCTCCCTCGGTATTTACCCAAATGAACTGAAAACTTCTCTCCACTCAGAAATCTGCACAAAGATGTTTGTCACAGCTTTATTCATAAATGTTAAAACTTGGACACAATGAGATCCTTCAGCAAGTGAGTGGATAAATTGATACATACAAACAATGGAATATTATTGACAGCTAAAAAGAAATGAGCTGTCAAGACATGAAAAGACCTGGAGGAACCTTAAGTGCGTGTCACTAAGTGAAAGGAGCCAATCATCATAATTCCAAATTCTGGAAAAGGTAAAACTAGAGACAGTAACAAGGTCAGTGGTTACCAGGAGTAAGGAGGAGAGAGGAATAAGTGGAACACAGAATTTTTAGGAAAGTGAAATATATCTGTATGATAATGTGATGATGGATACATGTTATATACATGTTTGTCAACACCTACAGGCTACAGCATTAAGAGTGAAACCCGGGTGTGAACTGTGAGCTTAAGTGAATGTGTCAATATTGGCTTATCACATAACAAATGTACCACACTATGATAAATATTGAAATAGGAGAAATGGAGCATATGGAAACTTCCTATTCATTCCACTCAATGTTCTGTAAATCTAAAACTACAAAATAAACTTATTTTTTTTAACTAAAAAATAAGAAATTAACCCTCATTCTAGCAAGATTGCCTTAAATTTTTGTCAGTCTTTGAAAGCTGTTTTTTTATTTTAAGACGGTTTAGGCTGTTTGAACTTTCATTGTGATTATGATTCTTCTGTTTGAATTTTTTAGTTTATTGGGGAGTTACTGTTCATTGAAGCAGCTGATAGTTCTCAGTGGCTGAAATTGAAAGAAACCAACTTTGACAATTTCACTGTGGGTTTTGTTGATTTTTAAAAATTACATTTTCTTTATTTCAATATGCCATTTCCCTGACAATTAGGAATTTTAAAATCAAAGCGTATTTCAGATTTTGACTTGAGGAAAGGTGGGGGTTTTTTCCCCCTCAGAAAGTCTCCAATTATTTTACCAGATACTAAATTCCTTTTCTGGTCTCTCTTAGCTGCAGGACTCATGCACACGTTCAATGCTCATGCTGCCACTGACATCACGGGCTTTGGAATCCTGGGCCATGCGCAGAACCTGGCCAAGCAACAGAGGAACGAGGTGTCCTTTGTGATTCACAACCTCCCTGTCCTGGCCAAGATGGCTGCTGTGAGCAAGGCCTGTGGAAACATGTTTGGCCTCATGCATGGGACCTGCCCGGAGACATCAGGTACAATTCGAGGATCCTGGCCCCTACTCTGAGGATTAAACTAGTGAAGCTAATGGAAAGTTCCATGAGAAGGAAGAAACCAAATATATGAGCATGACCCCATTTTGTGTGAGGTCACTGCTGATAATCTTGACCTTTTTAGCAATAAATGTTCTCTGCCCCTTTGTGCTGTAGGTTACCAGACTCCTGCCATCCTGTGTGTGGTAGAACAGTATTAGTTAAGTTCAGTGTTTTCTGTGTTTGGTGATAGAATGGGAGGAAGGAAAATAATAGGAAAAAAATAAGTCACTACTCAATTTTCATTGGGAATCTAGCATTTTTTTAAATTATATTTTATTGATTATGCTTTTACAGTTGTCCCAAATTTTCCCCCTTTGTCCCCTCCATGCAGCACCCCGCCCATCAGGCAGTCCCCACACAGTTGTCCATGTCCATGGGTCAACATATGTATTCTTTGGCTACTGTATTTCTTACACTGTACTTTACATCCGCATAGCTATTCTGTAACTACCTACCTGCACTTCTTAATCCCTTCACCTTTTTTGCCCATACCCTGACTCCCCTTGCATCTGGCAACCATCAAAACGTTCTCTGTATCTATGATTCTCTTTCTTTTAGGCTGCTTGCTTGTTTTTCAGTTGTTGATAGATACCTGCTTGTTGCCATTTTATTGTTCATATTTTTTTTATCTTAAAGAAGACCCTTTAACATTTCATATAATACCAGTTTGGTAGTGACAAACTCCTTTAGCTTTGTCTTGTCTGGGAAACTCTTTCATCTGTCTTTTGATTCTAAATGATAGCTTTGCTGGTTAGACTAATGTTAGTTATGGGTCATTGCTTTTTATGACTTTGAATATTTCTTGCCAATCCCTTCTGGCCTGCAAAGTTTCTCTTGAGAAGTCAGCTGACAGTCTTATGGGAGCTCCTTTCTAGGTAACTACTTTTCTCTTGCTGTTTTTAAGATTCTGTCTTTGTCTTTAATCTTTGGCATTTTAATTATAATGTGTCTTGAGTTCATTTTGTTTGAGACTCTGTGCTTCCTGGACTTGCATGTCTTTCCTCACCAAGTTGGGAAAGTTTTCTGTCTTTTTTTTTTTTTTTTTCCAAATAGGTTTCTAATTTCTTGCTCTTTCTCTTCTCCTTCTGGCACCCCCATGATAAGAATGTTGGTGTACTTGAAGTCATCCCAGATGTTCCTTATACTATATATATATATATTTTTTTATTCTTTTTTCTTCTTGCTGTTCTGATTAGGTGTTTTTTTCTTCCTTATATTCCATATTGCTGATTTGATTCTTGGCTTCATCCACTCTACTGTTGTTTCCCTGTAAATTGTCCTTTATTTCAGTTAGTATATTCTTCATTTCTTACTGGATCTTTTTTATGATACTGAGGTCTTCACTAAGTTCACTGAGCATCATTATAACCAGTGTTTTGAACTCTGCATCTGCTAAATTGCTTATCTCCATTTTGTGTAGTTCTTTTTCTGCAGTTTTGACCTGCTATTTCATTTGGATCATGTTTCTTTGTCTCCCCATTTTGGCAGCCTCCCTGTGTGTGTTTCTTTTATTAGGTAGAGCTGCTACATCTCCTGGGCTTGGTGGCATGGCCTTATGTAGTAAGTGTCCTATAGGGTCCAGTGACACAGCCGCTCCTATTACCCAAGCTGGGTACTCAAGGTGCACCCTTCATGTGCACTGTGTACACTCTCCTGTTATAGTTGAGCTTTGATTGCTGTAGGCATGTCCAAGGTCAGTCGCCACCTGTGTGTCTATCGGGTCATGCTGCATAAGCTACAAAGGGGTCTGCAGATAGCTGCTACTTGTACTGGGCTTGGAGGTACCCAGGTAAGACCAAGTTGTGAGCCAAGGCCAGCTGCTGCTAGTGCTGAGCCTGGGGCCACTTAGCAAGAGGTGTAGGTCTTGGTAAAGCCAGATGCTACTTGTTTGAGATAATTTAGGAAAATTTAAAGCATGGGCCAGGACAGGCCAAGACAAGCAATTAGTATGGAAAAACCCCTGGAAACAGCTTGGGTAGGCTCAAAAGTTGGGTGGGTCAGGGCCTCAGGGAATCACCAGGGTAGAGCAAACAGTGTGAGCCAGGTTAATAAGTCTCAGAAAAGGACCCACCCGCAGGCTTTGTTGGGGAAGGACTCAGAAAAGGAACAGTGGACTCTGCCAGCATTTCTTTCTGGGAGACAGCTGTCACCCAGCTCTCATCCTGATGCCAGACAATTCATGTCCTCCTGTATGTCTCTCATGCTTTTGAATCTGCTGCCCCCACACTGGAGCTCATGGGGAGTAAGTCTGAGTAAAGTCTGTGCATGGGTCCTTGAAGATGAGGGAGTAGATTTTTTCCTGATTGTGTTACTTCTATTTGCAAATAAAATTTTCTGCCCTTGCTACTGAAATAGCAATGAAAATTTATTTAAACTTATTCTGTACTTTTTTTGTAGATAATGATAGGGCAAATGAGAGAACCTAGATACTTTTTAGGAGTACAGCCTTTTGTGATTTTAATTTTTAAATTAAAAAGAACTTTTTTTTGTAAAACAAGGAATCCATGTAGAGAATTAAAAAGGTAAACTTCTGTTGTTTTTAAATATTTCTTTCACTGTAGCTTGGGAAAAATAGCTACCACATATTTTCCAATAAACTATTTACAGTTTAATCTGTGGAAATAGGTTAAGGCAGAATGAAGTGGGCTTCCTAGTTGAATGGAAGGTACAGCTTGAGAATAGTTCTTGGTTGAGCACAGATCTGTGCAGGAGTGTTTCAGAAAGATAGTGGTAGAGAAACTGCTCGCACAGAATCACAATTAATGGTCATCTTTTTTTCTTTGCCAGGAGGCCTTCTAATCTGTTTACCACGTGAGCAAGCAGCTCGGTTCTGTGCAGAAATAAAGTCCCCCAAATATGGTGAAGGTCACCAGGCATGGATTATTGGGATCGTAGAGAAGGGCAACCGTACAGCCAGAATCATAGACAAACCCCGGATCATCGAAGTCGCACCACAGGTGGCTACACAAAATGTGAATCCCACACCTGGTGCCACCTCTTAATCTAGACCGAAATAGCTATTTGGTTTTGTTTTTAAATAGCTCTATTTCCTTTATCATCATTTCAATTAAAGACTATAAACAACAAAAATCTCATTGTGTCTACACATTGGTGACCTGAGGTCGATTTGTGAATGATGCAATTAATAAAATAAAATCCATTGCCTTTTTTTTCCTGTTACATTAACTGAAGATGCACCTAATCTTGAGGCAGCTTCTGAGTTGAGAATTATATTGTTATCCAATACTGTTGATTCATTTTGAATCTTTAGACACTTATCTCTTGCCGCATAGGCTCTTCTTAAAGGTGCTTTCACATAGCACAGACATTACCAGTTGTAGTGTCAAATTGCAGTTTGTGTCTTTCACTTCATGTATATTTATCATCAGTCTGATCTTTTCTAAGTGTCTCAAATGGTATTCTGGACAGACGGAATTGGTAAGTGGCAAATGGTATCTCATTAGGAAGAGGGTTGCATGATTCCTTTGAGTCTTTGATTTGTAAAGCCTAGTCTTCTAATTCAGGAGCATCTCTGACCCAGGATGTTTTCCAATAGTGCATTTAGTTAAACAAGGCAAGTGCTTAACTCTGCATGGAAAGCATTTGGAAGACAAAAAATATTTTTTCTTTTTCTTTTTTTTTTTGTAGCCTTCCTAATATTTACAGGAATATCATTAACTGTTTACCAATAGCGAAAACAGGATACTTTTTGCAATGTAATTAGATGTTCTATAGTGCAACAAGGAATTGCCTTCTAAAAGGGGGTTCATGTATAATACTCATACAATTCAATATATAATTACACAAATAATTTTTAAATAGAATCAATAATAAAGACTGTTCTGTGGATGGTAGTGCTTAATACATTTTATATTTTGTATAGTGATTTCAGGCCTTTTGTTTCCTTAAAATCAGCAGCTACTTAGTCTGCTTCTGAGCATTATTTTGTCCTTTGTGCCAGTACATTTTTGTGCACGCTTTTTGTGATATGTTAAAAATCTGCATTGCCAACATTGCAGCTTGAACTCAAACTTGTTATTCAAATATTTAATTTTTTTTATTGCTCTTGTATAATCAGATGCCCCTTTTAGTATTATTTTAGAAGCATTGGGAGGGTTTTGGCTAAAGTACAATTTATTGGGGGGAAACTAGATTTTAGTTTTATAAAACTTTTAAGTCTTTCATGGGACCTATATTTTCTTGAATTAAATTTTGTAGTTCTAGAAAAAATAGGCAATCTGAAATGGTGTTTATCTGTGTTACTTAGAAGCAGAGGCCTCCTTATATTGTAACCTACTAAGTGATTTGGAGGGATTCCTGTCATTAAGCACAAGTGCACTGACCCCTCAAGTGTCCACGTAAGAAAAAGCACCACATCACTGCAAGCTTTCGAATGCTTCCCGCTTACAGGCAACAAAGCTGTGTGAACCAATCAACTTCTTGCCAAAGGAGACCGCCACTGAGGAGAGAAAGCCCCTGGAAGAGGCTTTACCGTGGACACTCCCCTCCCCCCTTCGGCACCCCAAGGGCAGCCTGTCTGGCATGTGTCACTGGCACTCAAGCCGTAAGGATTGTGTGTGGTACCTCAGAGGCTGCTGCAGAACTGAAATTAATTGGACATTCTATAGGGATTTACAGATGTTGGTCCTCAAAACTTACAAACCATTGGTCTGCAAAATAAAATATCAGAAACTTCAGAAATGAACATACTGTTGAACTTTTCTTTTTGGAAAAAAATGCACTAGTGATAACTAAATCTGAAGAACTTTCAATGTAGATTATGTCTTCATGGCTGGAGATTTCCTTGGTGGCAGGCCTGCTGAGAGCAAGTAAGGTAAATGGACATGCTTTTGAGGAAATCATCTTTGTGAAGATTAACATTTATAAAGAGAAAATGTTGGGTTCTGAAGAGGTCTGTGTCATTCATCTGATCCCAGGAGGAAGAGCTGGTCTTTCAGGGAGAGCCAACCTGGCCTAGCTCACCTGTCTTAGAATGCTTGGAGGGTTCTTGTCAAAGGCTAAAAACCTTGGGCCCCTCCCCAGACAGTATCAGAATGTGGGAGGGGAGAGTAGGTGTTAGGAGATTAGGGAATCTCAAACAAGCCTCGTAAGTGGCTTTGTGCCCTAGAGTTAGAACCACAGGACTAGGAATGGTGTGGAGGGCTGGGAGAGGCACAGGACTGAAGGAAAGTGAGCTTGCTCTTACCATATACTTAACTAGGAATTTTTCTTTTCATCTTGACCATTCAGTTTACTGGCATCTGGGCCCAGCAAAACAAAAAAGCCTTGAAATTTCCTTGAAGAGACAGGTGATTGTCATTGAGTATTTGTGTTCTTGGCAAAATCTATGCAGAATATTTTAAAATTCAGTGAGCTGTTAATAAGTAACAATTATTTGGCACCCTGAATGCAGTTTAAAACTACGTTGAGCCCTGGCTGGTGTGGCTTAGTGGATTGAGCGCCAGCCTGTGAACCAAAAGGTCACCGGTTTGGTCCCCAGTGGGGGCACTTGTCTGGGTTGCGGGCCAGGTCCCCAGTTGGCATGCTAGAGACAGCCAATCGATGTTTCACACATTGCTGTTTCTCCCTCCCGCCCCCTCTAAATAAGTAAAAAGTAAGTGGTAAAACTGCCATTCCCAGAGCACTTAAAACCACTTACATTGAGGTATGTTCATTTGGTATAATGATTTATTTTCTTTAAACTCTATGATAGTTCCCTCTGAAAGTACAGTTTGTTAGAATGCACAGAACGAATGAATACAGCCTGAAGAGGCTGGGCCCTGATGAGGTCAATTCCTTCTGACGACAGGAGTTATTTGCCAAGGAACATCAAAGTTAAACTTCTTACTTGCATACGCTGTGTTAAAGCATTGTGATTCAGTCCAGGGAAATAAATACTGTGCAAGCAATATGTACCTTTTATTACAGCTCAGTATTTTAAAATAGTATACTGCAGTCACCAAGTTCTGCATGCCTTATGATGAATAAATGTATCTTGTTCTGATTTTAGATAAATGAGCCAGCAGTTTTCAATCTGAATTTAGCACTGCTTTTAAAAGAGTTGATTTAAGTTCAAAGTTTAAAGTGTTATTCAGTACAAAGAGACCAAAATAACTATTCTTTATTTTTAGAATAAAGCAAGCATAGATAATGCTTCAGATACTTAACTGTCATATGTATGTATATGTGTATATATGTCTCCTTGAATTCATATTCACACCCAGCACACCCTTTTTTTCTAGATTAGGTAATGGCTGCATAGACAACTTATAAAAATGCACATATGAACCTTGCAATTATTGAACATGTTGGGCTCCACAAGAAAAAGCAACAGATTAAAAGTCCTTTTTTTTAATAGCGGTTTTTTTTACTTTAACATAATTTATTATACACATTTTGACCACACCAATACATAATAAAATAATTTTATATTAATGATATGTTTGTTAAGGGTAATGGGACAATATGAGTATAGTATACCTCAGTGGTTTTGAATTTTTTTTACATTGTTTTTGAGTATACAGCCTAGTGGTTAGACAATAGCATACATAGTGTTCCCGTTGAAGTCCTATTTTTAAAGAGAAGAGCACTTGAATATCATCTTGCTTCTGGTCAAGTCTCTGTCTTAAGTGCGAGTGGGTGGACTGAATAGGCCTTCATCAACCAGAACAATCAGTAACACTGTTCATAGGTGTTTAGATGTGTTCAAGAGTTGCTCCGCCCCAAGTTTGCTGGCAATGCCTATTGCTTTGGGTTAGTGGGTAAACACTGGGTAAATAAGTTGTAGATCTGGTGTCTGAAGGGCCTCTTATATTAGACGGTTCTATCCAATGCAATACACAGGTGATGGTTTTAGGGTTTTCTGATTGTCCTTTCTTGACCTGTTGCTTTTGGAGGGAGTTTTATGCTTAGGACTCCATATAATGAAGCCCATCCTAGCTTCATGGAAGGAAATAGCCAACTATACCAGTGACAAATGCATAAAAGCTAATGTATTTTCTAGTCTTTGTATTTCAAAAACATAGCATACGTACATAGAAGTTAATGGAGTCTTACACAGTGTTATCTTGTGGCATTCTCAATTACCGTGCCCTGCATTTGCCTAGTTCTTAAAGCAGAGTTGTATAAAATTGGTGTCTAGAACATAATCCTGCTTTGGTTCATTTTGAAAAATTAAGAAATTATAGTAGTTGAACTTTCTTGTTTCTATTTTTTAAATAAAAAGCTAGAATTTGTTTCTAGCACATTAAGAAATAATACAAAGGAAGTAGACATACCTATAAATAATTTCTCAAATACTAGAATATGACAGTTAAACTGGACAATCTTAAAAGATAAAGTTACGGAGTCATCATTCACGTGACACTAGTCAAATTGGCCTAGTATATCTGCTATGTTAGGTTTTGGGATGCATAAAGTCCGGGTGCATTTTCTTTTCTCCAACTTTTTATTTGAAAAATTTTCAAGACAGTCAAGCTGAAAAAAAGAATAGACACTCCCAGAAATGTCAAGTTGTTGACATACCACACTTGCTTTCTCTCCATAGATAACATGTGTGCACGCACACACACGCACATTCTTTTTTGTTGTGTAGGCAGAGCCACTCCTAAGTAAAATGCAGACATTGTGACACTATCGGGTGGCAGGTGGTGGGACATCCACTCTGTACTTTTCTCAAATTATCTGATTGCCTTATATATGGCTATAGCATTTTCATGGCAATGTTTATAGTTCTAGGGAAAGGGTGAGAAAATTTCCAGAGTATAAAATAATTGAGGTGAGCAAAACTAAGAGAAATACCAAATGAGACATGGCGCTTTTTAAGAGGTTGACATTTATTATATATACTGTTACGTGACTTGTTTCTTTTTGCTTAATATATCTGGGACATAATTTCCCATCATGTTTATGATAGAAATACCCCCATTTATTTTAACCCCAATGTAGTATTATATGGCTGTAGTCATTGAAATTTAGATACTGAAGATACTTCCAGTTGTCTCCAGTTCACTCCCCATGGTTTGTTGAACACTAATCCTTGAAATGTTGAAAACCTGAATGTTGTACTTCCATAACCTAGCTGTAAGATTTGAGGATTTTTTTAAGTAGCTATTTACATAGGCCTCCATGGCAGTCTGCCTGACTACTGTTCTAGGCAACCAGCGCAGGCTCGAACAGTATTTTTTGAGTCTGAACAAGAATTGCTTACGTGGTCCTGGCAAGTTGGCCCAGCAGGGAGGAGGAGCTCTCCACCACTTACTGCCAAGCCCTGTGCACACAGTAGCCTGGGCCTCCAGGTGGATTGTGGCGTCGTTTGCTTTTCTTGTAACACAAGGATCCGCTTGCTGACTGTGAGCAATATGGTAGAGAAACATCCAATACCCAAATGCTTGGAGCATAAAGCAGCAGGGAATTCTGGCCATGACACATTAAGGATCTTGCCCTCTCCTGATTTATAGTATAGTATTTGTCTCAGATCCATTTCCAGAATTGCTATTTTACCCTTTAACTAGATTCCTAGCTCTCACAGGCCAGGCGCGTATACCAGCCTCCTGAATTCTGTCTGGGACCACCATTACTGTTGCTTCCCTTTCACTGGTATCCTCAAGGGTCACAGATTTAGGGTGGCAACATCACAAAACTGACATGGGAACCCCTGAATCACTGCATGAAGAAAGGTTACCCATCTCATGTTAACTGTGCCATGATTGAGAAATAAACTTTTATTTTGTTGAGCTATTAAGATTTCAGGGTTTACTTGTTACCACAGTATAGCTTAACCTACCCTTCTACACAAATCAATAGATAATTCCCAGCTATGTAAATAGCTACTTAAAAAAATCCTCAAATCTTACAGCTAGGTTATGGAAGTAGAACATGCAGGTTTTCAATATTTCAAGGATTGATTCGTGTTCAACAAACCAAGGGGAGTGAAATGGGAATGTCCAATCAATGTCCAAATCAATGAACAATACATGTATATAAGGACTTGTACAACCTCACTAAATAAGCAAATTAAAACACTAATACAGAATGTTTTCCTTTAAACTTTAATTGACAAGGACTTTAAAATGGATAGTCCAGTGTTTCCTTATCAATGCTCATAATTGCTGTTAAATGGTTGAAAAACACAATAAAATTTTTGAAAATTGTTTGTAACTCTAGAGAGTAGAGGGATAGTTGCCATGAACTGGGGGAGATGGGCAGAGATGTCAGTTAAAGGGTATAACCTTTCATGTAAAGATGAGTAAATTCTGAAGATCTAAGGCGCAGCATGGTAACTGTAGTTAACAATAACATATACTTGAAATTTGCTAAGTGAGTAGATCTTAAGCATTCTCACTACACACACAGATAACAAGGAGAATGATATGTTAGTTAACTTGATCATCATTTCACAATGTATATGTATATCAAATTATTCCCTTGTACACTTTAAATATATATAATTTTGTCAATTATACTTCAATAAAGCTGGGGAGAAAAATGGTCTGTAACTCTACATCCCAGAAAATAACATTTTTGGAGAATATTTATTGATGGTAAA